GACGCGGATGAATCAAAAGACGCAGATAAATCAAAAGATACGGAAAAATCGAAAGATACGACTAAATCAGAAGAAAAAGATAAAGGTAGCCAACACTTGAAACCAGAATCTCCGAAACGGGCAGCTAGCCCAAAGAAACCAGGTGGTAAATCTAAAGTCACGGGAGAAATTTTGACTGGTTGGTTGTGAGGACTGCAARCGACTATCTTTCTAGTGATGATACAATACACTTATGACCGGAAAACATTAAATTGGTTTATGGCCTATAGTGCTCTTCTAAATATAATTTACCATTGAAAAATCTACGAAATGTAAGTTCACTAAATGAGGATGTCTAAACCTATAATAMATTTTAGTATTTTACTGTCAACTGAAATACAAATTTATGTCTGAAACTTAGACAATAGTTTATTGAAATAAATATTAAATGTAATAAATACGGTGTATGAATAATAAAAGGTTTTTACATTTTCCGAGTGGTGCTTATTGTTTTGTGAGTTGTTAAGCAGTTGTTTAACAGTTGCATTGGAGTGCAGCTCCAGTTTTATCACATGTTTTTTAACAAACTTTTTTATCTTGTCCCGGATAAACRATTTATTCATATCTCGAATATTACTTTCCTATGAAATGTATACGTTTYCAATCAAGACAGAAGTCAAAGTTCATACCCAATTATTTAGTTGAATTTTTTTCTGAGAGTCATAAAATATAATAATATCTACACTATATACATGTACAATGAACGTAATGTGTATATATATAGTTTAAGTTATAAATTATAAGTCAAAAGTTTGGTAACATAAAATCTTAATTTGTGAAGATTTACAAATTTTTAATTATTTTAAATTAGTAAATATTTATGGATTTTATAGGAGCTTCAAAATAATAGTAAAAACATACTCTCCTGCAAGTTAGGTTAGCCCACCATTAGTCATTACTATTTTTTTTTATTATAACACATCTATAATATAAGTTGATTGTGAGTTATTATTATTATTTACTGTATTCATGAAACAATTTAAAGCATTGCTACAAACTCATTAATAATATTTATGATTATTGAATACCTAGTTCTACCATACTAAAATATAATCAATTSTCCCGATTCTGCATAATAATAGGTAGGTAAGCACTTAGGTAAAAAATGTATAACCTAGTATAGTATTTCGATTAGTCGATAAGTATAACCGGGTCGGGAAATGAATCTTATAACAAAATTTGATAAAATCGAGCTAAACCAAATTTAGTCGTTTTAAWGATGTGATCAAATTAAATCATAAATTATTAGCAATTGTGATTAGGTCTTTTTTTGGTTATAAATTTATAAATTCTATTGTATAATTTATTTAGGTTTGTCTATATATCCTATTTATAGTTTGAAATTGAGAGTTTAGAGTTGGCAAATTTAATATTATCATGGTTATATAAATTGAAAAGTAGACAAAAACAAGTGGATGATACTGTTGAAAAATGTTAAAATATGTTATCAAC